TGTGTGTGTGTGTGTGTGTGTGTGTGTGTGTGTGTGTGTGTGTGTGTGTGTGTGTGTGTGTGTTTATGTGTTTACAGCAGTAAAAGGCAGATGGCTCAGTGACTTTTTTTCTGGCATGTAAACTCAGGCCACATATGTGAACACACACACACACACACACACACAGATGCTCTCTCAGTGCCACTCTTCTGTCTTTAATCCATTCTAATGGACGGATTAAAGCTTATCACAGCCGCCGTCACTCGACTGGCATCACCGTGGTTACCAGAAAACGATTTTTTTTTTTGCATCATAGACCCTTTGGCCAATGAGGGTGCTTCGACTATAATAAATCTGATCAGACGCAGTCAAAATGCAGGTTGGTCGTTTTGACGTCTGTCCTTCTTTGGTTTTTCTACCTTTCTTTTGTCAGTGAATCGTCGTGTTAATGGAACGCTGCAGTTTACCCGAATCTTCGTCTGTAAGCGGAGGACTTCAGCTCTGATTTAGAGTTTAGAAAATGTACATGACAGATACACTAACAGAACTTTTTCTTCTTTTTTTAACCTCAGTTCCACATTTAGCACAGAGACATTGATTTTTTACTAAACTGGTTCCAGAATCTTTGTGCGAAGCAGCGCAGCCCCCGATTCCAATCAAATCTAATGATTAAAGAAGTGTAATAAACATATCAGTTAGACGTGTTTTTAATAATAATAAAGACTCTTGTGAGACTTTCCTGTGTTTCTCTGAAACTGACACCTTAACGAGTTTTATAAACGTGCATTTAGGCTGTTTGAGAAAGAATAAAATAAGAAACAGACAGGAGTGTGTGTTAAGAAGATCCATTAGAATGTGTGTGTTCTTTGTGGTGTTGCTACAGAACTGAGAAAGAGTAATGTTGACATCTGCTGGTGAAAATTATAAATAGCTCTGATATGAAACTTCTTTCTATGACTGAAAATACAGATTTAAAAAATGCATGGATTCTTACACTGCTACCGCTAAATGAAAATGCTATATTTTTAGAAATTATTTCATATAAAAGATTTATTACATCACGAACAAGTAAAGTAAGTAAGTAAAGTTTTATTTATAAAGTGCCTTTCACAGAAATATGTTCACAAGGTGCTGTACAGTCATTAACGGTATAAAAATAGTGGAAAGAATAACATGAAACAGAGAAACATAATTACACATGAGCAACGAAAATTGAAATATCAAATCAAGAATTAATTTCTAAAACCGTAACTCAAAACACAAGGTCAGCGCAGGGCAAAATATACAATAATACACAAAAACATAATGAAAAAAATATGGCGTAAGTTCAGTAATAAAACAACACAGAATGGCGAGCATTTATGAACTACAACTATTTCATTACATCTTAATATCTTAGAGTTATTTGTCCCTATTAGCATCAGATTATGATAGTTCCTACTTTTTTGTCAGTAATGTATTTTGTGTTGTTTTTTTGTTTTGTTTTTCAGGGAACCCAGACGAGTGGTGCTGCAAAGGGGCTCTACGGGTCTTGGGTTTAACATTGTTGGAGGGGAGGATGGAGAGGGAATCTTCATCTCCTTCATACTCGCTGGAGGTCCAGCTGATCTCTGTGGGGAGCTCAGAAAGGGAGACCGCCTCCTGTCGGTACGAGCTAAGAAGCAGCATGACTGCTGTGTGTAGAGTTTTACTTTTATTACTTATAGCTTACATTCAGCTACTCATAAAAAGTGTTTTTTATTTCAAAAAGTTTATTTTCATTGCATATGTGCCAAACTGATGAGGTTGAACATTTTAAGCTATGTTGTATAAAGTACCTCAAAGTGATACTTGAGTAAAAGTACTAGTATCTTATCATAAAAATACTTTAGTAAAAGTTAGTCTTCTGTAAAAATATTACTTGAGTAAAATTTTTAAAGTATCTGATATTTTTTGTACTTAAGTATCAAAAGTAAATTTCTGACACAAAATCTACTTAAGTATTAAAAGTAAAAGTACTGAGTAAAACTGAGCAGTTAGAT